CAACGTCTCCATATGTAAACCATAGAACCCAACAGTGCCCTCAAAATTAAATTTTACAATTTCAGCTCTATTTCTTCATTGAATACCACATTTACTCATATTTAGTACGAATATGCAAAACAATCTACATCTCTCCATTCTAGACACTAACAGTGATCTAAAATTAGTATCATTTAGTACTTTTCGAGCGATTATAGTACACATTTCTAAAACCACCACCAACAGGGACTTCAATATCAAATTTCGGGATTCGAGCTCTAATGTTTCACCCAATGCACAATTTAGTACCGCTTTTCGAACAATTCTAGCACACATTTTCAAACCGCCGCCAAAACTGTATCCCAGAGACTCAATATCAAAATTCGGGATTCCAGCTTTATCCCTTCAGCCAATGCCCAATTTAGTACTATTTTGTACATTTCGTACAACTATAGTACACGTTTTCAAAACCACATCCGTATCACAATTCCCGATACCAACAGAGACATGAATATCCAATTTTAGGATTTCTGCTTTATTCCTTTTTCCAGTACCTAATTTAGTACTTTTCGTACAAATTCCAACCGTGACATCTATATCGAATTGCAAAATTTCAGCTCTATTTCTTCACCCAATGCCCAATTTAGTACCATTTTTCGAACAAATATAGAACATATTTCAAAACCACCGCCATATCGCAATTATAGATACCAAGAGAGGTCTTGGAAAAGGAATAAAGCAGAAATCCTAAAATTTGATATTCATGTATTTGTTGGTATCTGGAATTTTAGCTCTATCCCTTCACCTAATACTAAATTTAGTACTTTTCGTACAAATATATAGGAACCATTTTCAAAACATCGCAAAGTCTAAAAAAACACACAGATTCCATCAGCAATCTATACATCAAATTTCAAAATTTTATCTCTATCCCTTCATCCAATACCAAATATGGAACTATTTAGTACTTTTCGTGTACTTATATAACTCAATTCCAAAACCACCTTTCTATCACAAACCCACCAGGGATCCCAATACAAAATTTTGAAATTCCAGCTTTATCCGTTCACCTTTAACTTAACTCTTCCAAATTTAGTACCTTTAGTACAGTTCGCACACTTAGTTCACATTTCCAAAACGACCTTCATATATCAAACCTGTTTTCCTTGATCTTCATTTTCGTAGCAATTTTTAAAATTTTAGCTCTATCCGTTCACATAATATCAAATGGTACCATTTTAGAAAAACCCATTGGTACATCTGTCCTGCACTCTATCAGTGACTCTCATTCTAAATTTCAAAATTTTATCCCGTTCCATGTCCAATACAAAATATAAATTTTTTACTATATTTTAGTACTTTTGTACCCTTTTTAGTGCGAAGTATTTAAAATAAGTATTCAATTTTAAGTACTTTTTGTACGATTTTAGTACGAATTTCCAAAAACCCAGCTTTATCACATGCCTTGTAAAAAATTCAAGATTCTAGCTTTAACTGTTTCATATGGACGTTGATTCTCAATCAGTCATTTATATTTCACTCTTATATAGATAATAGACGTATATTAGGCATATGTGGTAGGGAAGGCTTGTATCCTATGAAAACCTGAAAAACTAAATTACAACTAAATTGGGTTAAAAATGACTCCTGGTGGTAGTTTGGTTAGTACTCACTCTTTATGATATTCCTTAGTACTCACTTTAATGATAAGTTGTTACTGGTGCCAAAATGTACTTAATATACCCATTATTTGGTAATGAGATTTTTTTTTGTTGGGAAGTGGACCATCAAAAATTGTTTGGCGTGTTTCGTTTGACATTTTGAAAACAAATGCAAAAGCAAGCGCCTTAATACTCTGCTCCACGTGATGGCGTGGGTTGCTACAAAAAAAAATCCCAGCACTAAAGAAAATAAGAATTTTTTCGTTGGCTAGCATTTAACGAAAAAGGAAGTGGTCAGAATCACATCCACATAGTATTCCATTTATGTTGAATAGATAACGAACGTGTTTCTGAAGACAGCGATTAGGCCTCAATTAACCCTTTCAGTGTCAATGAAAATTTTTGTCGAGATAAAAATCTGAAATTCCGTACTAATTTACTAAAATGTGCTCAGAAATTCGAAAACGAAACTAATAGAATAGAACTGCAATATTTTTAAATAGCGAACGTGTCTGTTATTAAAAAATGTCAAAAATAACGGTTCGTAAGAAAAACAAAAAATGGCAAAGAAAGAGAGTACTTTTAAATGTCAAATATATTTGACAAAAACACTGAAAGGGTTAAAAAGTAAACTTTGGTATTATCTGTAGTGGGGTATTGCAAAATGTCGCTGAGTTTGTTTCTTAAGTCTTTTGTTTTTGTTAGGGGAATTCAGTTAAATATAAATGATTCGCCATATGTTTGTAATTTGTTCATTAAATTCAAATCGTTTAATATGTCAATTTCAAAAAAACTTTGATTTTTTATTTGAATTTTTGATTATATTTGCAGTCATCCATCCATTCGTCTGTCCATATTGATTTGTAATCACACAATTATAGTCTGACCCTCACGAAATTTAGCATGGAGTTGGGGTTAGGGTCAGAATGGAAGCCAATCGTATTTAGGGGGTGAAATGGACCAAAAATCAAAATATTACGGATTTTGTCGAATAATATTTTGAAGGGTGAAATAGACCACAACTCTTTTGTGAAACAATACCAAAATTTCCATTTAAAGGCTAATATTTTTTATCCTGGCGAAAACTCAAATACACACTAAGGTCACTACTGGCCATTATATTGATGCTGATAGCCAAAATATCGGATGTATAACAAAATATGTACAATATTTATATAAATAAAAGAGTATTGAAATAACTGACTGACCGACCTAAAGTAAGCGCCCAGTTGAAACGGTTGAAGTTAGAATCATGAAATTTTGCCCGAGGGTCAATCTTGGTGCGTAGGCACGAAAAGTACTAAAATGTACTGAAATTGAATACTTTGTATTGGATAAAGGGAATGAGCTAGATTTTTTGAAATTTGGAAGGAGAGTGACTAATGGAGTATAGGATAGATGTACCAACGGGTTTTTGGAAATCCAAACTTTAAAGTTACTAAAGTTTGGTTGTATTATAGGTGTGCGAACTGTACTAAATTTGTCACAGTTAGGTTTAGGGCGAACAGATGAAGTAGGTATTCCAAAATGTTGTATTGGGATCCCTGTTGGTGGTAGATTTGTGAAATGGAGATGGTTTTGGAAATGTGTACTACAAATGCACTGAAAGTACTAAATGGCACTATATTTGTTACAATTTGGTATTGGACGAGTAGAAAGTGCTTTAAATCTGACATTAGGTATTAGGGTTGCTGTTCTTGTGTAGCTTGGGCATATAAGGTCGTTTGGGAAATGTGTAATATTTAATATAATTGTAATAAAAGTATTAAATGGTACAATATGTGGTATTAGATGAAGGGATGGGGCTGGAATCCTCGAATTTGGTAAAGATGTCGTTGTTGGGGTCTGCGCTTAAGGTATGGAGGTGGTTTTAGGAATGTGTTGAAATTTGACATTGAGCTCTCTGTTGGTATCTGGGATTGAGATTTGGGGGGTGGTTTCGGAAATGTGTACTTTAATATATGAAAAGTACTGAATGGTACTATATACGGCATTGGTTGAATGGATAGAGATAGAATTTAAAAATTTTACATTTAGATAAGTGTTGGTATCTGAGGTTGAGATTTGAAGATGGGTTTGGAAATGCGTCCTATATCTAAAATATATATATTTTGGGTAAAGGGAGAGATCTGAAACCGTGAAATTCTATATAGCTATAACTGTTGGTGTCTAGTATTGAAATATGGAACGGTTTTGCAAATGAGTACTAAAATTATACGAAAAGTACTAAGTGTTACTAAATTTGGTATTGGGAATAAAGGTATAGAGCTTAAAATTATGCAATTGAAGTCATTGTTTCTAGGCTTTACATATGGAGACGTTGAAATAGTTTTGAAACGAATGTAAAATTTTAAGATGGACTTTTTGATGACGAATAGGGAACACTTAATAGAAATTTTACTAAACTTAAAACAAGTGTGAGATAGTCAATATCGGTCCACTCCTCCGCCAAAAAAAATGTCAAAAACAAATTTTATGCTCATTATACCCTCCACCTTGGAAAAGGTGTTTGTAACATCCCTAAATATTCGTCGTAGATCCTATAATGTATATATATTCATAATTAGCATAAAATTCTAAGTCGATTTAACGATGTTCGTCTGTCTGTTGAAATTTGTATTGTGTCTAGGATGGTTGATATTGGAAATGAGATATATCGGTCCACGTTTAGGTATAGTCCCCATATAACAGTACCTCCCAATATTCTGTATTTTTATGATTTTTGCCCCATTTTTTTACGAATTTGTCTGAAAATTGTTATTTGTAGGTCATAATAGGTCCTAGTTCGTGTGGCGAAAAATTGTAAGTATAGGTCCACGTTTTGGTATAGCTCCCATATAGCGGTTCCTCCCGATATTCGGTATTTTGATGAATTTTGCCACATGAATATGTCCAAAAATTGCTATTTGTGTGTCATAATGGGTTCTAATGTTTCCTTTACCCTAAGGTTGAAGGTCTTAAAAGTTCGGCCCGGGCAAACTTAATGTTTTTTACTTGTTTTTAGTTCAGTTTAAATATTAAATCATAAATCCATATCTGGTCAAATAATTCCAAATGTTGTGCCCTACTAACCCAACACAATCATTCCTAACTTGGAAATGCACTTATTCTGTTCAAAAAATTGTATAGATTTGAAATAATAATTTCCAATATTCAATGAGTAATTCTGCTTAGGTGTTTGCATTGATTCATGTTTGCATCACAAATTACAATATTGAAAATGACACACATACCGATAAATCTCCATCCAAATCAAATAGCTAAACACATATAATGCACCAATCGATTAGAACAAAATAACTAGCTGTCATTGAAGAACATGTGTAACTTGAATGAATATAAATTTTCAAATTTACTTACTCGTTACGGCCCACTGGACATTGTTTAACAGAGCCCAGAGTGTCACATTTAAATCACGTTGACAATTCGGGTCCTGAATGAAGTCTAAACTTTCACGAAACAGCTTCACTTCATTTGGTGTCAAATAAATGGCTTTAGATTGCTCTGGGTTGACATTTTCAGTCGACACCGCATTTGAGGAAAATAACAGCAACAATAAACATAAATTTAAGGAATATTTCAACATTTTCATTGCACTCCCAAAAGATTAAGAAAATAAAAATACACTGGAACACTCGAATTAAATTTACAGGATCGACGTTTTATATATATTTTTGTTTTCTTTTACAACACCGCGAAGTGAAATTATATTCTGTGAGCTATTTTCTTTACATACACCTTGTAAATGATCGCAAATGCAATTGTGTATGTATGTGTGGTTTGATAAAAAACCCAACGCCAACACAGAGATATCTATTCACTTTTTTCTTCAATTTTTTTTAATAATATTTTTTTAATTTTTTCTTAATATTTAAATTTGTTCTCTAAGTCGCTTCATAGAAATTCTGTTTTTTTTTGTAATTTTCCGTTTTTCCAACCGTTCGCGTTGATGTTAAAAACTCAACTGTTATTAATTAACAGGCTCCACCAATGCTTAGCTTAGCTATGGCATGCTTATAAAGCCGTTTTAACCATTAACCACACAAGCACCACATGTGCTGCTGTATCCATAGACCAGTCCAACATGTTTGATCACACTGGCTCGCATTTAAATGACTTACAACGTGTTGTGTTTTGTTTTAGCATTTCGTATAAAAATTGCCCGGCCCAACCGGCAGTGGATATAAATTTCACACTCAAATATGATTTTTTTGGGGGGGTGCGCCGAGAAATTCCAATTTGGGGCTAGGTTGTGAGAGCGTAACGGCAACAGAAATTAGGGGTTTTAAGGCAATTGTAACACATCCGAATAACTTGTAATTGGAATTTTAAAACCAATGTCGATTTTTATACCCTCCACCTTGGAAAGGAGGGTATATTAACTTTGTCATTCCGTTTGTAACATCCTTAAATATTCGTCTTAGACCCCATAAAGTATATATATTCATAATCAGCATAAAATTCTAAGTCGATTTAACGACGTCCGTCTGTCTGTCTGTCTGTCTGTCTGTCTGTCTGTCCGTCTGTCTGTCCGTCTGTCTGTCTGTTGAAATCACGATACAGCCCACATTATCTGACGTAGAGCGTCAGATAATTTTAGCAGAGCTATTTGCATTGTGTCTAGGATGGTTGGTATTGAAAATGAGATATATCGGTCCACGTTCTGGTATAGTCCCCATATAACGGTACCTCCCGATATTCGGTATTTTGATGATTTATGCCACATTTTTTTACGGATTTGTCTGGAAATTGGTATTTGTAGGTCATAACGGGTCCCTGAGCGTGTGGCAAAACATTGCATGTATAGGTCCACGTTGTGGTATAGCCCCCATATAAAGGTACCTCCCGATATTCGGCATTTTAGTTTTTTTTGCCACATTTATTCACGGATTTGTATAAAAATTGGTATTTGTGGATCATAATGGGTCCTAGTTCGTGTGGCGGAACATTGTAATTATAGGTCCACCTTTTTGGTGTAGCCCCCATATAACGGTACCTCCCGATATTCGGCATTTCAATGGTTTTTGCCACATTTCTTCTAATGTTTCTTTTACCCTAAGGTGGAGGGTATTAAAAGTTTGGCCCGGCCGAACTTAATGTTTTTTTACTTGTTAAGAATAATTTTAATGACTATCAGAGAAACTAATGCGGTTTTTTTTAAATATTTTTAGTAAACAATTTCTGAGAATACGTTTAAGGACTTTCAGACCTACCAAAAGATATTTTTAAAATATTTCCGTGGAATATCAGAGCAAGCAATGGGGATTTTTTAAGAATTTTTTTTCAAAGACTTTCGGGGAAACAAAGTGGATTTTTTAGGAATAGTTTTGAAGAACTATCAGAGCAACCCAAGTAAATATTTATGATTATTTTCTCAAAGACTATCAGAACAACCAATGAAGATTTTAATACCCTCAACCATATGGCTACATCATGAAACGGTCAAAATGTGCCTCATTGAAATAACGGTTTTATACCCTAGGTCTATTTGTACCAAATCCGTTATAGGACATTTGGAGTCGATCCATCCGTTCGTCCGTCTGTCTGGCTGCCACGCACGATAAATCTCGAAGGGATTATCCGATTTGGTACATTGTCATTTTATTATCAAACTTAGATCGATTTCGGAGATGGACTATATCCGTCCACTGCTTCGTCCCGCACAAAAAGTCAAAATTAAAAAATATATATATTTTACTGCACAGAAAGAGAAAGGATAATCCGATTTTGCTCCAACTTTGCAAATCCTAATATTTGCATTAGTGCTAGATCTGCTAGAAAATGGACAATATTGCTCCACTTCATCAAGTACCTCCCCCACAAAGGGTCAAAATTTTGAATGGTTATAACTCCTATAAAATGTGAAATAAGAGTTCCATGGTCTTCAAATTTCACACATCCCAATTATTATACCAACAAAAAATCTGGTATCAAGAACAGATAGAACGGACCACTCCCTGTGGTACACCACCCACAAAGGGTCAAAATTTTGAATAATTATAACTCTTATAAAATGTGATGTGAGAGTCCGATTGTATGCATATTGCACACATCACTATATTTTTATTAACCCAAGGTCGGGTGTGAAGATGGTGTATATCGGGTCACTCCTTTTGGTACCTCCCCCACAAAGGGTGGACATTTTGAATACCCATGAAGCTCATAAAATGTGAAATCCATTCAGATTTAGTACATCCAAATATTTCCATCAACACAAGATCTATCATAAAGATAGTAGAGATCGAACCATTTCTTCTGATACCTCCCGTACATAGGGTTTAAGATTTAAAAAAAAACAAAACGAACAATAAAAGCGAAATAAACCTCCTAATCTCTTCGAATTTCGCACATACAAACATTTTTGCCAACACATGATCTGTTGTGAAGATGTGTGAGGTGTTCGCAGAACAACACCTTCTGGTCCCTCCCCTACAAAGGGTCACAATTTTCAATACTTTTATCTGTCATAAATTGTGAAACAAGTCAGCGATTCTTAAAAAAATTTTATATCTAAATATTTCTCTCAACCAGAAACAAGAGATGAATGTGGAATTTATTTCCCATAAAATTGGATATAAATGTTCGATTTTCTTGTAATTTTTCCCATACCAATATTTTCATCTGTATTAGATGAAGTATGAAAATAAAATACTTCGATCGACTATCTGGTACCTCACGCATATTTTAACATTTTCAAAAAATTATCACATATCTCATATAAAGTAAAGGAATTAGTCGATATAGTCCAAAACTAGCACGTCGCAGTATTTATATCACATTTATTTAGGTCTGATACGAAATGGACAATATTGGCCCGTTCTTTTGGAACCTACTCCATAAAGGATCTACAATTTGAGTAATCATAATATATCATCTGTCGGCAAAATCGACTACGATACGTTTTAATTTGTTTCCTATACATTCAATGTCCAATAGCCTGTCCGGATTCCAAAGTGGATTTCATAGTACTTGGTGGGAAGATCAAAACCCCAAAAAAGTTTAAGGTTTTAGATCATATTTTTAAAGGTTTTTATATTGCCTTGGCCATATGCAAAATGACCTCAAGTTTTTGTACAGTCCTTATAAAAAAATACCTCCTGATTTTAGTTGCTGCGAGTAAATTGAAAATTACGCAATTTTTTAAAGTCACAACTGGATCTAAGTAAATGACATTTCGAATTTTAATAAATTCTACAATAATATCGCAATTACAATAAGGGGTATAAACAAATTATCTTTAATACGTTAGGAATTAACACAATTTAACTATAGAACAATATTTTTTTAATAATTTAAAGGGCATTGTGCGTCTTACACTAAGAATAAAAAAAAATAGTTCAAGTTATTCAACCGCCACTTAATAAAATTGCTTTATAGGCTTGTAGAATACGTTAGATTTATAAAATATCTATTGACCGACAGTAATTGTCACTTGTAAAAAAATTAACAGTTTTCCAATTAATTTTGTAGTTTGGTGGACCAAGGTCTTTATACATTCCGTTACGTTTAGTAGAATGACAATTAATTCTGTTGAATATTTTGATTGTTACAGTCCCGTTTGAAGGGGATTTTTAACCAATTTAAAAAAAAATGTCAAAAATACACCTTTGTATGACTCGCTCGAGGGTTAAAACTTTTCAACAACAAAAAAGTATCAGTCGGCTTTGCCCTTAGCCAATATTCGATTATTTAAATATATTTTGACCTCAGTGATTGTTCCCCCTATATGGTGTAGGTTCCGAAGGAATGGGCCAATATTGTCAATTTCGTATCGGACTTAAATAAATATTGGTTACTTCCTTCACTTTATATGAGGTATGTGATCATTTTTAGAAAATGTCAAAATATACATGAGGTAGCAGATATAGTGGGCCGAAGTATTTAATTTTCATACTTCATCAAATTCAGATAAAAATATTGGTATGGCCAAAATTATAAGAAAATCGAACATTTATATCCAATTAATGGGAAATCATAAATTCCATATTCTTCTCAGGTTTCTGGTTGAGAGACATATGTTTAGGTCTAGCAAGTTGTAAAGAATCGCCGAGTTATTTCGCAATTTATGACAGATAAAAGTATTGAAAATGGTGACCTTTTGTGGGTGAGGTACCAGAAGAGCTTCGCAGATATATATGATCTTCACAACAGATCTTGTGTTAGTAAAAATAGTTGTATGTGTGAAATTTGGACATAGTTGGATGCTTAATTCGCTTTCTTTGGGTGTTATCAGAATCTTGAATCCGATGTTGAGGAGGTACCATCATCTTTATAAAATATATTTTATTGATGGAAATATTGAGATGTACCAAGTCTGAATAGAATCGAAGGTTAATTTCCAACGCCCAATGGCCACCAAAATCTCCGGATACCAATCCGTTGCACTATTGTGTCTGGAGTATTTTGGAAAGCAAGGTTGGCACTAAAAAATAACAAATCATCACCTCAAGTAAGCGTTTCGCCGGGAATGGGCCAAAATGCCGCAGAGCATCATTCGGACAGCATGTGACGGTTTCATTGACCGTTTGAAGGCCATAATTCGTGCCAAAGGTGACCAATTCGAACAAATCTAAACTAATTCTAAAATTTGATGCTATTTCGGACATTTTTTGCTTTCATTCAATAAAATGTACAAAAAATTTAAAAATTATGTCGTTTGACTTTGTAGTAGTTTTTTTATCTCACCCTGTACTTTATGGGGTCTACAACGAATATTTAGGGATGTTACAAACGAAATAACAATATTAATACCATCCTTTTTTCAAGGTGGAGGGTATAAAAATACGGGAAAAAAGTCAATAAATCATTGTGATTATGCATTGCGGGTCGATTTATATTGCTTCCATTTCCAGGCCCTAAAATTGCCCCGTTTAGCTGATAGGGACAAGTTGTCAGTCGATATTTCCCGACAATACTACATATTCATATCGT